TCTCTATTTAGTCGAGTCTCTTCTTTATTTCTATGTTGATCCTTTGGCTGTAATATTCCACAATTTGGGATAAAACTCTAAATCTATCACCAGGGCCAAAAATTGTCGAAAACTGCTTCACAAAAACACGTTGTACTTGAAAAAAGTACAAAGTGTACATTTCAAATTTAAGAATTGTCAAAGTAAAAAATAAATAAATAAAAAAGTCAACTAAAATACAACTACAGATCCTCAAAATCTGCCACAGTGTGAAACGTTTTTGTCCACAAAATAGGCAAGTTTATTTGTACAGCACAATTCGTACACAAAGTAATTCAAAGTGTTTTACAGAATAAGAATAAAAACAAATCAAAACATAAATAATCATGAAGATTAACATTAAAAAAGAGAGACATAAATTGGAGAGAAGAGTGCAGAATGAAAACCTTTCAGTTATTTGCACAGTTAAACAGAAATGTTTAGAGTCTGGATTTAAACAGCGTCACAGAAGAGTCTGTCTCACATGTTCAGACTGTTCCAGGTTTTAGCTGCATGAACCTGAAACTCTGACTCCCCTTGTTTAGTCGTGACTCTGGGCACCAGCAGGAGTTGGTCCCTGAGCTCCTCAGAGTGTGAGATGTTCATATGACACTAACATGTCACAGATGGACTTTGGTGCTCGGCCATGGAGACACTTGTACAAACAGAGCTGCTTTAAAGTCTCTGAGCCACAGGAGCCAGAGCAGAGACCTGAGACCAGGACTTATGTGCTCGTACTTCCTAGTTCGAGTCAGGACCCGAGCTGCAGTGTTCTGGATGTTCTGGATGTTCTGGATGTTCTGGATGTTCTGGATGTTCTGGATGTTGTGGATGTTCTGGATGTTGTGGATGTTCTGGATGTTGTGGATGTTCTGGATGTTCTGGATGTTCTGGATGGATGTTCTGGATGTTCTGGATGTTCTGGATGTTCTGCAGCGTCTCACAGCTCGTTTGGAGAGACCAGTGAGCAGAACATTACAGTATCTAACCTACTGGAGACAAACGCATGGATAAGTTTCTCCAAGTCTGATTTAGACAGTAAACCTTTGATTTTTGCTCTGTTTTTTAGATGGTAAAAGGCTGCAGATGTTATTGATTTGATGTTCCTGTTAAAGTTCAAGTCTGAGTCCATTTTTACCCTGAGATTTCTTGCCTGATTTGAAGGTTTTAGAGAGAGAGACTGGAGGTGATGCTAAATACTAAAATTAAGGCAGGTCTGTTTTTTTTGTTTTTTGGTTTTTTTGCACTGGAAACTTGTGTTCTTACATTGAGTGAGCTCGCATCTCCACAAACCCGACTCTTATTTAGTCTCTCTCTGCTGGTTGCTGTAATATTCCACTGTACAGGATAAAACTCTAAATCTATCAAAACACATTTCGTCAAAACATGAAACTTTTCCTTTTTGACTGAGTGTTTTATTTTTACTTGGTCTGGATCATGTGAAATGTTAATGTTCTACATCACATGTGTCAAGGCCAAGGCCCGCGGGCCACATCCGGCCCTCCAAGCCATTTTCTGTGGCCCACAAGGGGTTAAAGGTATAATTTATTATTATATTGTGACTCTGTGCCGCTACTACATCTCCCACAATGCAAAGCAGCTGTTTCCCGTGAAGTGACTGCATCTCGCCACTAGAGAGAACAAGAAAACATCATCAAATCTCCTCAAAAATATCCAAGAAAAGAAAAATTTATGCAGAAGATTTTCATGAATGTTACTGAAGGAGTAATGTGAATGTTTGAACTCAAACCTTTAAATCAGGGGTGTCAAACTCATTTTGGTCCGGGGGCCGTATCGGACCTACTTTGATCCCAAAGGGGCCGGATCAGAAAACTCATTGCTGTTTTGGGGGTTTATATGCCATAACTTCATATATTTGTGCAAAGAAAAGCAAATCTATTACAGAAATCTTTTTTTAATTGAGGAACTTTTCTCATTTTGGACATTTTTCTGATGAGGGTGTCACGGTCAACAGTCAAAACGATCGTCCTTTAAGAGCGTTTGGAAAGAGACAAGTCTTCATTTGTGCTGCTCTGGTGGGAGGGGCCACGTACAGAGACGCTGGAGACGCTGCTGTGATAAACACCGCAGACAATTAACAATATTTTAATAAAAAATAGAATTAAAATATTTTAGTAGAAAATCAGCCGAGGGCCAGATTAAAGGTCTTGGAGGGCCGGATCTGGCCCCCGGGCCGCATGTTTGACACCTGTGCTTTAAATCAAATCAAATCCACTTTATTTCTACAGCACATTTCATAAACAAAACTGTTTCCCAAGTGCTGCACAAAACAGATAAAACATAAATATAAAGTAAAGCTCTACTTAACTTTACTAATCCTCATTAAGACAATAAAACTAGTCAAATCAAATAAGAGCGAGAAGATCAGTAAATAATAGAAAGGTAAAAAACATAAAAATAACCAAAATAAATAAATATGAAATGAAAAATCAAATACAGACTTTATAGTTTTGTAACATACTGATCTTACAGTTACAGTTTCAGTCTTAACTTTACAACCGGCCCTTTGACGACAAACATGATCCAGACGTGGCCCTGGGTGAAAATGAGTTTGACTCCCCTGCTCTACATTGATCTAGTTTTTCTTGTAAAAGTGATTTTAAAAGGTCAAATAAAGGCAAAATGAATTATAAAAGAATAAAAGTTTGTTTGTGTGTAAAAGCTGCAGCAGAGTCCTCACCTTCTGTCACAGTCGCAGCTCGAGTCGGGTGAGACTTTCTGTGTTTGTGAAAACCACAGACAGGACGTCGATACAACAGCAGCAGCAGCTTCTCTTTTTTTCTTTTTTCTATTGTCTGAGTCCAAACGTGTTTTCACCGAGGGGCGGGTTGTGTTTAAAGTGTGATTCTCACAGATGTGCATGTTTAACAGCTTCAGAATTCAGCTTTAAGGAGGTTTGAAAAATAAGACATAGCAGTAGAAATATTTACATTTACATGAATAAAAAGCAGCATTTCAGTCGAGCTCCGTCTGAAACATCCACTCCTCAAGAAAGAAAGGACCTGCCTGACCAAAATTAGTCCTGGTTTAATTCTGGTTTAGACCTGGTTTAGTCCTGGTTTAATCCTGGTTTAGTCCTGGTTTAGTCCTGGTTTAGTCCTGGTTTAGTCCTGGTTTAGACCTGGTTTAGACCTGGTTTAGTCCTGGTTTAGTCCTGGTTTAGACCTGGTTTAAGTCCTGGTTTAGTCCTGGTTTAGACCTGGTTTAAAGTCCTGGTTTAGTCCTGGTTTAGACCTGGTTTAATCTGGTTTTAACCTGTTTAGTCCTGGTTTAGTTCTGGTTTAGTCCTGGGTTTAGTCCTGGTTTAGTCCTGGTTTAGTCCTGGTTTAGACCTGGTTTAGTCCTGGTTTAGACCTGGTTTAGTCCTGGTGTTAGTCCTGGTTTAGACCTGGTTTAGTCCTGGTTTAGTCCTGGTTTCCTGGTTTAGACCTGGTTTAGGTTTAGACCTGGTTTAGACCTGGTTTAGTCCTGGTCCTGGTTTAGCCTGGTTTAGACCTGGTTTAGTCCTGGTTTAGACCTGGTTTCCTGGTTTAGACCTGGTTTAGACCTGGTTTAGTCCTGGTTTAGTCCTGGTTTAGACCTGGTTTAGTCCTGGTCCTGGTTTAGACCTGGTTTAGACCTGGTTTAGTCCTGGTTTAGTCCTGGTGTAGTCCTGGTTTAATCCTGGTTTAGACCTGGTGTAGTCCTGGTGTAGTTATGGTTTAGTCCTGGTTTAGACCTAGTTTAGTCCTGGTTTAGTCCTGGTTTAGACCTGGTTTAGACCTGGTTTAGTCCTGGTTTAGTCCTGGTTTAGACCTAGTTTAGTCCTGGTTTAGTCCTGGTTTAGACCTAGTTTAGTCCTGGTTTAGTCCTGGTTTAGTCCTGGTTTAGACTTGGTTTAATCCTGGTTTAGACCTGGTGTAGTCCTGGTTTAGTCCTGGTTAAGACTTGGTTTAATCCTGGTTTAGACCTGGTTTAGACCTGGTTTAGACCTGGTTTAGTCCTGGTTTAGTCCTGGTTTAGTCCTGGTTTATACCCGGTTTAGACCCGGTTTAGACCTGGTTAGTCCTAGTCCTGTTTAGTCCTGGTTTAGACCTGGTTTATTTAGTCCTGGTTTAGACCTGGTTTAGACCTGGTTTAGACCTGGTTTACCTGGTTTAGACCTGGTTTAGACCTGGTTTAGTCCTGGTTTAGACCTGGTTTAGACCTGGTTTAGACCTGGTTTAGTCCTGGTTTAGTTTCCTGGTTTAGACCTGGTTTAGACCTGGTTTAGTCCTGGTTTAGTCCTGGTTTAGTTAGTCCTGGTTTAGACCTGGTTTACCTGGTTTAGACCTGGTTTAGTCCTGGTTTAGACCTGGTTTAGTCCTGGTTTAGACCTGGTTTAGACCTGGTTTAGTTTAGTCCTGGTTTAGTCCTGGTTTAGACCTGGTTTAGACCTGGTTTAGACCTGGTTTAGTCCTGGTTTAGACCTGGTTTAGTCCTGGTTTAGACCTGGTTTACCTGGTCCTGGTTTAGTCCTGGTTTAGACCTGGTTTAGTCCTGGTTTAGACCTGGTTTAGACCTGGTTAGACCTGGTTTAGTCCTGGTTTAGTCCTGGTTTAGTGGACCTGTTTAGACCTGGTTTAGACCTGGTTTAGTCCTGGTTTAGTCCTGGTTTAGTCCTGGTTTAGACCTGGTTTAGACCTGGTTTAGTCCTGGTTCCGTTACAGATGCAGTTTGCTGCTTTGGCTGGTGACTCTGGCCCTGGCGACACCAACTCAAAATCTGATTGGTTGAAGCAGCAGTTTCATGAACATTTTATTTAGTGTTCGACTTCCTGCAGGACGGATTGTGAAGGACTCAGACTCTGTGACTTTGACTCTGCCCGGCAACAACTGACGACTGAAATGTGATTGGTCAAATGCTTTAATATGAAAACCCATGTGTGGAAGCAGAACAAGCACCAGAAAAACTCTGAAAGGAAGTGGACAGAACATTTGGAATTATTTTTTTGTCATATATATTTTAATAAATAACATTACAACATAGAGCAGGAAATAGCTTCAACAGAAAAGTTACATGGTGCGTCTTTAAATGTATATTTCTACACTTCCTGTGTCATTTCTGTGGACTTTCTGGAGATGCTGTTTTCTCGCAGATGAATCTGTTGGATGTTCCACAGTGCTGATCAAACCAACACTTCTCCTCAAACCCAGAGCCCGTTTTCTTCCCGATCCGTCCACAGTCTTCCTCTGGATAAAAAAGACTTCCCCAGTTGTCTGGTTGAATATTGTCCCCATATCTATACCAAAAAGACAAACTACATGGAAACACAAACAGAACAGTTGGAGTTACTGCTGGAGCTCGACCATGTGTGGATTTACAATACTGATTGTTTACAATACAAAGCAACAGACCGACAAATATTTTTTCTGTAGCTTCATCTCACCTTGGGTCCAGAGCAGAACCATCGATCCACTTCCACTCTCCCTCAGTCTCAGAGTCTGTCAGTCCGATCCAGAACTTCTCTTCATCCTCTGACATCAGATGTCTCACTTTACCAAACAGGAACCTCTAAAACCACAAATCCACAGTTCGTCTCCACGGGCAGAGCAGAGAGTCACAAACATTTTTCTTCACTGGACCAGAATAGAGTCTTGTTTCCATGGACACAGAATGGGGCGTTTCAGGGGTCTCAAGTGGACCACTGGAGGTATGACCGTCCAAACGGTTCTGGGACTTGAGACGCCTCGCAGGGGGCGGGGTTAGTCATTGGAGGACCAGCAGCACCTTCAGTGCAGGTGCTCACGCGTCACAACAAACGGCACAAACACGATCATGTTTAAAGAGACCGACATGTGTTACTTTACCAGTTTATCTTGATGACATGTTTCAGCTGCTGTCGTCAGTTTTAAAGATGATCTGCAGCTGAAACATGTCCTCACGGTAAACACACCTCCTACTGTACTGTCTTTAAAAAGGCCAAACTCACTGTGCCAGTGGAAACAAGACTTATGTGAAGATCTGAGGGACAAACATGAGATTCATGATGGGCCACAGAATAAAGAATAATAATGTGAGGAGAAGTGCTCCTCACCTGCTCCTCTCGGCTCTCGATCTTCACCAGGTCTCCAGAAGCTTTTTGACATTGTCTTCTGCTTTGGCTCCATGATAACTTCAATGTGGAAAAATAATAACAGCTTGTTCCATTCAGCTCCCAGCCCACGTCACAGTGAAGTCTCAATGAACGTCTCG